CTTTTCTAAGGAACCCCTACCCTTGTAGATGAACTGCACAAAACCTGATTAACAATTGAATGTGAAGAATGATGATTTTCAAGAACTACTAGTATTGGGGAATATGCTTTATATTTGCCTATATGTCTGAAGGTACTGGATCTTGGTGTTTGCTAGGTGTTTGTGTTGAAGAGTAATACAATCTCTCATGACATTTAGGGGTTTGGGGTCACTTCTTTCTGCAATTAGGCTTTTGTTTAGAAATCTGCTCTCTATTTGGCTCAATTCTAGGCACGTGCTTTCTATTGTGAAAGCTCCAGTGTTTTAAAAGTTATTAGACATAGGGTAAATACTTATTTTCTATCTGTAAAATAACTTATATGCACTGACTTTTGTAAAAGTATCTGATAAATAAAACAAACTAAAATATTTCTGTATAGAGATAGTCATATCTTAGTTGTGATCATTTGCTACTTTATTTAGAAGTTTGAATTCAGCCAATGTAAGCAACCTCGATTTGCTTCCTTATTTTAAGTCTGTCCCACTTCTCCCCTCTTTGGTGCATGCTCGTTGGGGAGGACATGTTCTTCCAAGTATGCCCTGGACCTGGGCTGTTTACTTTGTGTTCCCTTCTTCCCTGGAATTTTGTTCTGTCACTTGCCTCTCAAATCTCTCTTTTTTACTGTACTATTTTCCTCAGTCTGACAATGTGCACAGCCATCCTTACCTTCTTGCCCCTTTAATTACTGAAAAAGAAACTTTTCTCAAAAGTGAATACTATATTCTCCACCTCATTTGCCTTACCAGTACTCCTGAAGCCACTATTCTGAAATAACCAATGACTGATTGCCAACTCTGAGGAATCCAAAACCTCATTAAGTGTTGCAGCATTAGATGGAAATTCTTTCCTCTCACGTCTTCCAATACCTGTGGGGTTTTTAGTCTTGATTTTGTACGGTCCCTTTTCTGCATCCTTTCATAGATTCTTTAACCTCCCACAAATCTAGAGCGAGTTTTCCAAGTTTCTAATTTTCCAAGTTTCTATATTTGGGCCCCTTTCTTCTGTCTCTCTTTGTCTCCTGCTTCCTTTGTCAGTTTAGCGTCTTCACAGTTTTACTTGTCATCTCGATTTGAGTAACTTCCATATTCTCTTTTCTGATACCAACTTTTTGAAAGATTAAGGTCAGCACTTCTAACAGGTTGCTAGACAGTGCCATCTCTTCACTCACTCACTCACTCACTCACTCACTCACTCATTTATATTCATTGCGAAAACTACTAAGGGGTAGGCGCTGCTCTAGAACTGTAGAAACAGCATTGAACAAAACAAAGGCCCTGCCCTACAGAGCTTACATTCTTGTGCGAGAAGAAAGCCTAAGTGAATTTAAAATGTGTCAGGTGGTGGTAAGTGCTATGGAAAAAATAAATCAAGTAAGACAACAGAAAGTGATGGAAAAAGTATGACTAATTTAGACTGATAATGACGTCGCTCTGAACAATGGCACTAAATTAGAAATCTGAAGAAAGTGGGAGTGCAAACCATGTTCTCGTTTGGGGACAAAGTGTTTCCACGGAGGGAACAGGTCCTAAGATGCAGAGGACAGATGTGACTGCAGGATAGTCAGCTTAAAACATACTCTCCCCCTGGTCTCCCTCTCTAAATCTTTCTCAATATAAAAAGATAACATAGATGCACTCAAGGTTGGGGGTGGGGAGAAAGAGAGAGAAAGGAAGGGAAAAAGAGACATAGTGATACCACTTGACCTCACTATTCACACATATGCACAGACACACACACACATATATATATAAAATTTTAAATTTTATATACATATATAATATTACAATTTTACCACCTCTAACACACACACACACACACACGAGTACATATAGAAGTACCAGGTCAAGGAGATATCAGATAACAAGAGAGCTGTATGGGCATGGTAAAGACCTTGACTTTGACTTTTCCTCCAAATTAGAGGAGAAGCCATTAAGGAGTTTTCGGCAGAGAAGCAACAAGTTCTGACATATTTAAAAAGAAACACTCTAACTGTTTTGTGAAGAAATGATTGTATGTGCTCAGGTGTGGAAGCAGCTAGGCCTGTTAAGAGTGTGACAAAAACATAACAATGAAAGGGAAAGGTGAGAGCTTGCAGCAAAATAGCAATGATGAAGGTTGTAAGAACTCGTAAGACTCAGGATCTATTTTGGAGGAAGGCCTGAAAGAATTTTCTGAAAGACTATATGAAATACAGCAACTAGTCAAAAATAACTGGACCATAGAAACTGGTAGAAAGAATAGGTTTTGGAGAGTGGTGAAATCAAGAGTATGATTTTGAACATGTGAAATATGAGATGTCTATTAGACATGTGAGGTCAAATATCAATTATGTACATATAAATCTGGAGTTCAAAGGTAAGCTTTGCCAAGCTATATAAACATGTGATTTGTTAACAGATATATATAATAAAAGTCACTGAACTGGATGAGATCTCTCTCTCTCTCTATCTCTCTCATACACACACACACACCTTAAACGAGAATTTCAGGAACTAACACTTTTCACTTATTTCACTTCAGTTCAATTCTTTTCTATTCTCAAAAGGTGGATAGTGACTCACTAAATAATTTTGTGACATACTAATGGGTTGCAATGTGTAGCTTGAAAAACACTCATCTAGAAAAATTGAGAGGAAACGTTCTACAGAAATGCAATAGGATTCCTGTGCAGCAAAATAGGCCCACTTAAAAACAGAATATAACGTGAGACTGATCAGCATAATCACAACCAAGATCATTATGCATTACCCACCTCCAATTATTCCTCCTGCTGAGATTTTTATTTTCAAATCCCCTCTTCTCCATTAACTCCAATTTGACTCCTATCAGTGTTCCTCCCGTACCCCATTACTTTAACCTGTGCCATTCAATTGATTGCAAAATTTGAATGATTCTACCTCTAAACCCTCACCATCATCTCCGTTTCTATTTCCATTGGTTTTTACCCTAATTCAGGTCTTTATTGGTTTTCTCTCTATCTTATATTTTGCTTTCCTTTTCTTCTTATGATAATAATGACTGTCCATGATAAGAAATTTATTTTAAAAAGACAAGTAATTAAAGAAAATAAATATCAACTACAATCTCACTAGTTAAGAGATTCTCTAGCCTCACTTGGTATATATTTGTGTAGTGTTTTTGCATACATATGTAATTTTCCTTATAATTTTATAATGGAATTATAAAATGTAACCCTGTCTTGTAGTGTTGCTTGTTTTTAAGATAACATTTTAAGTTGTATATCTCTTCCGCATTATAAGGGGTTGACACAATCGTATTTAACAATAGTTGTAGAGTGTTATTCCATGTATGCTGTTTTAACCTGAAACGTTTTATTGAATTTGTACAGTAATGTGCATGTACCTCTCAGGTCTTGGATCGCAGGGAGCCTAATTTGCCAAGGATCCCAGTGGCAGTGCTCTGAAATGGATTCATTACCTAGTTTGTTGCAAGTTCATACTGCCTAGTCAATAACTAAATACAGGAAAGGTATATTTCTGGGAGACTTGGGATTCCTCTAGCTAGTGTCATTGGCTTGAGGTCTCTCTGATAGCCTTGCAGACCTTTCCAAAGAACTATGTACCACTTTCTTTTCCTTCTTCCTTGAGGATCAGACTTGCATGAAGTCTAAAGGCTTTCCCTAATTCTCCCAGCTCCTTTCCTACTTTCTTTCAGAGTACTTTCAGTTTCCCCTGATTTCTTGTACACATGTTGGTATCTCTGTCTTGAAGATCCAAACTAACACAGACACCTAGGTTGTTTTCAGATTCCTATTCTGCACAACCAGATTAAGCTCCTAATTGCTCAACTTTGGGCACAGCATTCTTCTGCTGGAGCTCTTGAAGACCTTAGCCTTGAGCAATGAATTAAGTCCAGACTCATCCTTCTTACCTCTATGCTCTGCTCCAGCCCACCTTTCTAGCTACCACTCAGTGCTCTAGTCTAGTCCAATGCCCACTCACCATTATCCCACTCATCTCACTCTTATCCTCCCTAAAGAAGCATCTACCTGGCTAGATGTTTCCTCTATTCTGGTTACCTTCTGGACATTTTCCATCCCAATGTAGTTTTTCTCCATTTAAAAGACCAGAGAAAGGTGTTTTATGCAGTTTTCATGCTTCTCAGGATGTTAAAAACGAGGCTATATGGCTTAGTGGTTAAGCAGATATCGTTGGAATGAGACAGACCTGCTTTGTTAATTAACATCATTAAAAGCAAAATAAAGCATAGCATTGGCATTGCATATGTTTGGGAAAACTGAGCTAAACAAAAATTATTCAAGCTTTTTCAATTTTTTTTAATTCCAAGATTTCCCAGAACCCTTAAAATGTTAACACATGCTGTGACTTTTCAAGGCCAGCACTGATAACTCATGTAGTTTTCTCTGAATTTATTTGACTACAAAACTTTTTAAAAAACAGATAATCCCCAGAGAGTACTGTTTCTCAGAAGAGGTAAAAGTTGTCATAGAATTTTGCATGTATGATCTTCACAGTGTTATTATATGTGTTTATATTCTTCACACAGTTATTTGCATATTTTGTATTCATTCTCTCCTTTAACTTTTTGCATAAGGTGCTGAAAATAGCAGGCACTTGTTGAACTAAGAATCATGAGATTTTAGCAGTGGTTCATGGTCTGAAATAATGTTTGGTAACTAGAGAAAGTTAGTTTGCACCTACTTTTGATTTTTTTGTTGTTGTTTGTTTTATGTCCTTTTCATACTATTCTGGGCTACCTTGAAAGCTGGGAAAATAAGTATCTTTATACTGGCAGAAAGACTTTGCTAAATATGGGGCTAAACATATTCTTTCTACAAATCATTTCACTGAAAGAACAATATAACAGGAGAAGAATACACAAATACAAAGATGGAGGTGAATTTTTGGTGCAAGAAAGCAGGAGACAGCTGATTCCTGGCCTTGGGACCCAGAGGACTGTGGGGAAGGCGGCCTCCTGCTTAGTTCTGCTTGTTTTCATTTCCAAGAGTATGTTTGTCAAAAAGGTGCTACGCCAGGCCAGAGTCCGGGGCCCCCATCTTAACTAAGTTGTGCACGTGGTCACCTAATTCTTTGATAGACTTCACCTGCTCATTCAGGTAGTAGGTTTCCAGGAAGTCGCTCAAGTGGGGGTCACCTTTGTCCGAGCCAGAGTGCAATTCCAGCAAGAACTGGTTCCCATTCTTTTCCAAGAGCAGAGCACACTCCTTGGCATGCAGCCCACTTTCCCGGTCGTCCTGGTCCGGCTTCTTGATGTCCCGCAGGCAGATCCGGCCTCCTCGCTGGTTCTGCAGCCTCATCAGTTTCTCCGCATGCTCTGTCTCCTCCCGGGCCTGGCGAAGGAAGTACCTGGCGAAGTTGGTTCAAAGCCAGTTGATGGCGGCCTCGGAGTAGGGGTGGAAGTTCTGGCGCACCCGGGAGCAGGAGGCGGTG